GCCCCGAGGTTCCTGCAGCGCGCCTCCTGGCCAAGATCTCGGCCGCGATCCGGGGGCGTGACCTTGGAGCGCTGAACCTCGGCCTGGTGCGCGCCGAGGTTGAGAGGGCATGCGGACTCGAGGCGGTCGCCCCCCTCCTCTTCCTCCTCCTCCTCCGCCGCCTCCTCCTCCTCCTCCTCCTCCCCCTCCTTCTCCTCCCCCTCCTCTCCTCCTCCTCCTCCGCCTCATCCTCCTGCTCTTCAAAACGTGGTTCCTTTTCAAATCGTGGCTCTCGCCTTAGCGCCGCGCACAATCGTTTTGAAGATTTGTGAGAGTTTCACGGATTGGAGGCGGATGGTCTTCAAAATGTGGCTCTCGCTTTGGCGCCGCGCACATTGGTTTTGAACATTTGCAAGAGCTTCACGGATTAACGGCGGCTCGTTTTCAAAATGTGGTTCTCGCTCTAGTGCCGCGCACATTCGTGTTTTTTGATGTGCAAGGGTTCCATGGATTGAAGGCGGATGGTCTTCAAAATGTGGCATTTGCTTTGGCGCCGCGCACGCTCGTTTTTTCAATTTGCAAGGGCTCTACGGATTGAAGGCGGATGGTCTTCAAAATGTGGCTCTCGCTTTGGCGCCGCGCACGTTCGTTGTAAAAAATTGCCAGAGCTTCATGGATTGAGGGCAGTTCCGTTTCAAAATGTGGCTCTCGCTTCAGCGTCGCGCACATTCGTTGTTTAAAGTGGCAAGGGTTTCGCGGATCCCCATGATCAGCGTACCAGACATGGCGCTTTGGGAACATCCAGGATTAGGAGGGCGCCATGGTTACGTTGATTCGCGGTGTTGAAGTCCCAGGGATGGCGTTCTGGCGCGATTCCAGACCGTCAAGACGCAACAGCCAGGTTGATCCGTGGCGTTGGAGTCCCGAGAATGTTGTTGGGCATGCTTCAAGGTCTTCAAGCGGATGTCTTCCAACGATGCAGCTCCTGCAGCGGGAATGAACCGTTGTAGGGACCCATGACGAGGGAGTTTGGAGGGAGGCTTTATTCCAACATCGTTGATGACTCTTCGGTTTACACTGGTCCTATTCCTCCTCCTCCTCCTCCTCCTCCTCCCCACCCTCTTCACTTTTCCTCCTCCCATGTTTCCTCCTCTTCCTCCTGCTCCACCTCCTCCTCCTCCATTCCTTTTCCTTACAAGTACTTTCTCCCTGTCGCACGCCGAGGCCTGCTTTTTAGGGCGGGCCGGGCGTTTCGCCCCCCGAGATGTTTTCACCATTTATGACCGTGAAGCATAAACAGTAGCAGCCGTTTCACTGATTGAGGGCAGGTGGTTTTCAAACTGCGGTTCTCGCTTCATCGCCGCGCACGTTCGTTTGTAAAACTTGCAACTGGTTCACGGATTGGGGGCGGTTCCTTTTCAACATGTGGTTTTCGCTTCAGCGCCGCGCATTTTTTCCAAACAAACAACATTTGCAAGGGTGTCACGGATCCCCAGAATCATCGCACCAGCCATGGCGCTTTGGAAACATTCAGGATCATGAGGGAGTCATAGTTACGATGAGTCGCGGTGTTGAGGTCCCAGGAATGGCGTTCTGGCACGATTCCAGATCGTCAAGACGTAACTGTCAGGTTGATCGGTGGCGTTGGAGTCCCGAGAATATTGTTGGGCATGCTTCAAGGTCTTCAAGCGGATGTCTTCCAACGATGCAGCTCCTTCAGCGGGAATGAACCGTTGTAGGGGCCCATGACGAGGGAGCTTGGAGGGAGGCTTTATTCCAACATCGTTGATGACTCTTCGGTTTACACTGGTCCTATTCCTCCTCCTCCTCCTCCTCCTCCTCCTCCTCCTCCCCACCCTATTCACTCTTCCTCCTCCCATGTTTCCTCCTCTTCCTCCTGCTCCACCTCCTCCTCCTCCTCCATTCCTTTTCTTACAAGTACTTTCTCCCTGTCGCACGCCGAGGCCTGCTTTTTAGGGCGGGCCGGGCGTTTCGCCCCCCGAGATGTTTTCACCATTTATGACCGTGAAGCTTAAACAGTAGCAGCCGTTTCACTGATTGAGGGCGGGTGGTTTTCATTCTGTGGTTCTCGCTTCATCGCCGCGCACATTCGTTTGTAAAACTTGCAACTGGTTCACGGATTGGGGGCGGTTCCTTTTCAACATGTGGTTCTCTTGTTTTTCTTTTTTTTCCAAACAAAAAACATTTGCAAGTGTGTCACGGATCCCCATGATCAACGTACCAGACATGGCGCTTTGGAAATATTCAGGATTATGAGGGCGTCATAGTTACGGTCATTCGAGGTGTTGAAGTCCCAGGAATTGCGTTTTGGCACGATTCCAGATCGTCAAGGCGCAACAGCCAGGTTGATCCGTGGTGTTGGAATCCCGTTAATATTGTTGTGACATGCTTCAAGGTCTTCAAGCGGATGTCTTAACGATGCAGCTCCTTCAGTGGATATGAACCATTGTACGGGCCTATGGAGAGTGAGTTTGGAGGGAGGGATATTTCCAACATCGTTGATGACTCTTCGGTTTACACTGGTCCTCCTCCTCCTCCTCCCCATCCTCTTCACTCTTGCTCCTCCCATTCCTCCTGCTCCTCCTCCTCCTCCATTCCTTTTCCTTCTAAGTATTTTTTCTCCCTGTCGCACCCCGAGGCCAGGCATGTCGCTGGAGATTTCCCCACCATGTGTGACTCTGATGCTGAAGAAACCGGCATGTCTTGAGTTCCTGGGTCCTGAAAGTTGGGGTGATGTCAAGCAACGGCCCCATTCTGAACAAAAGGAACGAGTTCCGTCCGTCGCATTGTTGCAAGTTTGTAGGGTGATTGTGCGCAGCGCAATGGCGAGAACACCATGTTGAAAACGATTCGCGTTCCATCCCAATAGAAGTTGCATTCGTAACAGCGAATGCGCGTGGCACTGAGGCAGGCGCCATTCTGGATAGGACCCCCGTCCATCCCTCAAATGTTGCAGATTTGCAAGTCGCGTGTGCGCGGCGCTGAGGCAAGCGCCCCATTTTGAAAAGGATCCGCCTCGGGCCCTGAACGTGCTGCAGACTTGTAAGACGAATGCGCGCGGCGGTGAGGCGATAACCCCATCTCGAAAAGAAACCGCCTCAATCCCTGAAGCGGCATCAGACTTGTACACCTTAGGCGATGCTTAAGAAAACTTAAGTTTTCGGCCAGAGTCTCGATTATTCTTAACTTTCCAATGTAAATCCCAAGATTTTGATAGACGTTCGGGGTTTTTATTCAAGTTCTGAGACTATGAATTTCTTAACCCATGATTTCTTAAGCATTTCGCAGGGTGTATGATGAATGTGTGCGGAGCTTTTGCGGGAACCCAGTTTGAAAAGTAGCGGCCTTCCACCCTTGAAGTTGCTGCCGAGTTGTAAGACGAACGTGCGCGGCGTTCCGGAGAGAGCCACATTTTGAGATCCACACCGCTCCTTTCTTGAGCGTGCTGCAAATGTGTAAGACGAATGTGCGCGGCGCTACGGCGAGAACCCATTTTGAAAACCACCCGCCCTCCATCCTTTAACTTGTCGCGAAATTCAGTTTCAGGATCAAACTGGGTGAGGAAGTCTCAGGCGCATTTGCCGGCCCGCCCTGCCGACATGTCCGAGCGTGCGTCAGGGAGGATTTACTCATAAGAACAGCGACGGATGAGCAGGAGCAGGATCGGGAGGCAGGAGCACGAAAGATGGAGCAGCTGGAGGCTGGAGTCCTCCTCTTCGTCCTCCTCCTCCTCCTCCTCCTCCTCCTCCTCCTCCTCCTCCTCCTCCTCCCCCTCCGTTGCCTCCTCTTGCAACCGACGAGGTGGGCAGCCTGGACGCTCGCAAGAACGAGATCAACGAGCTCATCGTGGAGGAGCGGACCCCTCCTTACGCCGCTGTCCGCCCAGGGCCGCCCACGACCCGACTCGGTGCGATTCGGTTCGCCGGCTGGGGCCACGGTTCCTATTCGATCCGATGCCGCTCGATTCTCAGAGGGAGAGGCCCAGACATCTCGGGCCGGGCGAAAAGGGGGGATTGGGAAAGGGGGGGTTACGGAATTTGCTGCATGCAGCTGGTTTCGGCTTCACCGAGGGGCCCATTCCTCGATACATAGCCGCCTCCGGCGCCGGGAGGCGCCGGGAAAATCAGCTACGTGAGCTGATTATCAAACCCCCCCTTTGCTATCCCCCCCTTTCGCCCGACCCGAACATCGGGCGTCTCGAAAAAATCGTGACGGAGGTTGTCTTAGTCTTCGCCGTCTCGGGGCCCTTATTGGGCCTCGGGACCTTCCAAGAACGGCTCGGGACGAAAAACCGGTCCCCGTGATGTGGTCGCGAGGTCGGGTGCCCGTGTCTCGAAAAGATCGAGACGCCAGATGTTTGGGAACGGCATCGATACCGTTACCCTTCGCTCGCTGTCGCCTTTGGGACCTCCAGGGAAGCCCTCGTCGCCACGGCTGGATCTGCCCCGAAGGTCTGGTCGGAACGCACCCCGGGAGAGGGTTGGGGAGCAGCGGCATCGGTGTACACTGCCGTTTTTTGTTATACGTGCTCCGCGTGCGGATCATGTATTCAAGATGCAGGGCTTAGCATGAAAAACAACGATGAGCTCATGCATACATTTATTCCTAACTTGCTCATGTATTAAGAATCCCATATCTATAGAAATCCCATGTGTTAAGAACTGCCCTGTATCTTCTAGCCTCCCCGGGGTCGCCTGGAGTCGGGCGCGGCGATCCGGGCTCGAGCCGATGCGGGACGATCTGCTGGCGATCCGACGCGTCTCTGCTCCGCTGCGGGCCCGGTGCCATCCGCACCCTCCGCTGTTGGGCGTTGCGTAATGGGGGGGTCATAAATGGGGGGTTGGTGAGGGTGGTCCGAAAAGGTACCCAAACGGTACCTAAACGAGCCCCCTGGGGGTCCAGAGGGGCCCGAAAGGGGCACGAAAGGGGACCTTTTCTGACCCCCCCATTTGTGACCCCCCATTATGTACGCGCCCAACGCTGTCTCTCCCACTACAGTCGCGCCGCGCCGAGGGGGGCGCCGAGGGGGTGTGAGAGGGGGCAGGCCTTCTGAGAAGGCGGCGGGACTTCTGAGAAGACTTCTGTGGCCTCGGAGAAGGTTCAGAAGCTTCTCTGAAGCCTTGAGGCCTTCGGAGCCTGCCGAGAAGGCCCGCCTGCTCTGCCTGCCCTACCTTGGGCGCGCCGCCGATATTTGGGAGACGAAAATTGGTCTCACGCAAGATAGAATACAGTCGGGGCCCTGAAGAAGGAGCCCTTTTCGTTGGGGAGGGGCTCCGCGTTCCTGAAGTGTTTCGCAGCTTGCCTCAGGCTTCCCTCGTGTTTTCGACAGGAAATCGAAGGTCAACTTATGGAAAAAAGGGGCCCCGTTCCTTATTTAGGGTTCCTTAGGTCAACGCCCCGACTGTAGGGGAACAAAAAGTGACATAAACATAAAAACACTGAGGTCCGCGCGCGGATTTCTCGGATTTGCGCTGGACGTCCGCGCGCGGATTTCTCGGATCCGCGCTGGACCCCCCTGGCGGCGCCTTTGGCGCCGCCCTTGGCGCGCTCCGCGCTCCAGGGAGGGGGGTCCAGCGCGGATCCGAGAAATCCGCGCGGACCTCCGAGCTTTTAGGTGTATGCCACTTTTTCTTCCCCTATCCACGCGTGCCACGCCCACCCTGCGATGCCAAGGGCCAAATCGGCACAACGCGGGGCAACTTTCTGGGTGCACTTCCGTGCCGGCAGCGGTCGCCACCCTTTTTTCAGAGCGTGAATTACCTACCCCGCTTTCGCTTCCAGGCAACACCAAGTCATACCACGCGCCTCCTCGTCAAGCGGCCTGACCAGTACAGGCCGTAGTTTGGCATCGTTTGGTATCTTTTGGAAGCGAGGGTGGTCAAAAGCGAGGTAGGTTTGTTTTCCCCCTATGCTTGTTCTGGAGGTGGGGCGGCCTTCCGTGTTTGCCGCTGGGTGTCCGTGATGGGCCGAAGGTCCTTGCGGAAGTCGGAGACGTACAGTCGGGGCGTTGAAGAAAGAGCCCTTCTCGTTGGGGAGGGGCTCCGTGTTCCTTCCTTGTTCTGCAGCTTGCCTCAGGTGTTCCTCAGGTTTTCGACGGGAAGTCCAAGTTTGACTCATGGAACGATGGGGCCCCGTTCCTTATTTAGGGTTCCTTAGGTCAACGCCTCGACCGTACGAGGTGGGAATAGCCCCCTGTATTACCCCTCGGTCGTTGAAAGTAGATATTTTTGGATTCCCGGATTCCAATCTACTTTCAGCGCCTTCCTACTTCAAGAGTCGAGTGGTTTTCCCTCTTCCCTCCTCTTCAGGAGGCGGGGCGGAAACCCGATCTATTTCCAACGCCTTCCTACGTCATGTTTCTACCTGCTTCTTCCGACCGATGGGTATGGACAAATGGGGCCCCGTTCCTTATTTAGGGTTCCTTAGATCCACGCCTCGACTGCACGAGGTGGGGATAGCCCCCTGTATGAGCCCCGCCAGCTGGCAGGCTCGGGGCGCAATGGCGAGTCATTCGAGGGTCGATCGATCCAGAGCGAGGCGTTGCGCCCGAGGCCTCCAGGCTCTAGGCGTGGAAGGAAAGGCAAGGGCTCCCCCGAGGGCGCGAAGTTATTCGCGCTTCGCGCTTCGCGGTCCTCGTTTCTCCTCCCCCTCCTCCTCGTCCTCCTTTCCTCCCTTTGGGGGGGCGGCGCGAGAGCGCGAAGTTATTCGCGCTTCGCGGAGCGCGAAGCGCGAAGTTGGGAGCCCTAGCCTAGGCGTGGAAGGAAAGGCATACTCCAGATTTCCTAATAAAAGGGAGGGGGTCTCAACCCTCCCAGACGAGAAGTTCCAGAACCCCCCCCCCCCGTGGGAGAACCCTCCAAAACATAGTCCCCAGACCCCCCCCAGGCCCTCCAAGATGGCCTGGAAGAGACCCCCCCCGAAATGAGACCCCCTCCCTTTATTACGAAATCCGGAGTAGACGTCAGAGGGAGGGGTCCGAACCGTCATTCGCTGTCCCTGGGTGTGTGGCGGAAGCGGAGATCCGCGGCGCGGATTCTGCTTAGTTAGTTAGTTAGTTAGTTAGTTAGTTAGTTAGTTAGTTAGTTAGTTAGTTAGTTGATTTGTTTGTGTGTTTGTTTGTTCGTTCGTTTGTTGTCGTCGCCCCACCCGCAAGCCGCCCCGCGACCCACCTGCGACCCGCCCCGCGACCCACCCGCGACCCGCTAGCGACCCACCCCCGCGACCCACCGCGCCCGCCCCCTCTCTTTTATCCGCAGCGGGATTCGACGGTCTGCGCGGATCTCTTGGATCTGCGCGCTGTTCCTCGGTCTGGGCAGTGTGCATACAGATCCATCTCCACATCCACGCCCTCGCGGGCCAGGCCCCTAGGTCAAGACACCGCTGATACGGGGGGGTCCTTCCCGGATGCCCCGCGCGGAACGTATCCATACGACCGCGTGCAGCTTGGACGCTGAAGCATGGACCGCTCCGGGCTCCGCAGGGGCTCGCTGTTCCTCCAGCCCTCCTCGTGCAGCCAGGCTCTGTTGGCGCCCCAACAAAAAGGGCTCCGTTCCACATGTCTAGCGTGCGTTATTGCAGCAGCCTTCGAGGGCTAGAGGGCGTGGACACGGACACGCTCGCCAGAGGGGGAGGGGGAGGGGGAGGGGCAGGAGGAGGAGGACGAGGAGGAGGACGAGGAGGAGGACGAGGAGGAGGAGGAGGAGGAGGAGGAGGAGGAGGAGCAGCGTCCCAGAGTCCAGGCTTCGAGGGCGTGGACACGGACACGTCCGCCGCTCGTGGGGCTGCCCCCCCATTGGGGAGCCACGCCCGGGGCTCGGCCACCCCCCCACGCCAGGCGGAGCCTCCGTGCACTGGTCTGGCGGCGAAGTCCGCACCCTGCCCTCGCCGATCTACGGATCAGGCAACCAAGGGCTCCCTCGAGGGCGCGAAGTTATTCGCGCTTCGCGGTCCTCGTTCCTTCTCCCCCTCCTCCTCGTCCTCCTATTCTCCCTTTGGGAGGGCGGCGCGAGAGCGCGAAGTTATTCGCGCTTCGCGCAGCGCGAGAGCGCGAAGTTGGGAGCCCTAGATGGGTGGCGGGGGCAGGTCGTCGAACAAGTGGCGAAATCCGAACTCTCTCCCCGCTTGCCACTGTTTCAGGCGAGCCGGTGGTTGCTGGGAGTTGAGCTCGGATGCCGCCACTCATCTGTCGAGTCGTGAGGACTCCCGACTCACGCGTGCAAGGGCACAGCGAAGCGGCCAAGAGTTCGCGTGTTCATAATTATCACGACGCATCTCTCAATATCGTTCCTGGCCCGCCAGGAATCACGTGGCGTGCACCAGCACAGGCGTCTGTGAATAGTTATACCGAATTCCGCTCAGAACTGGAACAGCACACCTACGTAGCACCCCGCACTGAGGGATAGGGGTGGAAGGTTGCACCTAAGTGTTGCACCTGAGTGTTTCCCCCGTGTATTGTCCTAATTACTGCTCCCCCATCGGTTGCCCCCAAACGTTGCGCCCAGTTATCGCTATTGCTGGGTAGTCGAAGGCCAGACTGTCAGATTGGATTGGGCCCCACGGGCCAATCTGGCCTGGCCAAACTGGATGATTTGGGTTATTCGCCAGACTGGATTCGCGTTGGCTCCCTCGCCAGATTGCCCCCGTTTGCCAGATTGGGCCTGCCAGATTGGCGCCAGATTGGCTTCGACTACCCAGTATTGTGCCCCCTTTTTGTTACGCCCAAGTTTCGCTCTCACGGATTGCCCCCAGGTATCGCCCCCCGAATACCTCGCATTCCATTCAGCAACGCGCCCGCGGCCGAGACGGACACGTGCCGCAATGCCTGTTTTCGGCTGCACACGTGTGCGCCCAGC